ATTGGCCATTTTTCAGTGAACATCTCGGAATCTAAGGGAGATAGCTGAATTTTTGTCAGGACCTTTTTTGTAGCACTCAATTTGCTCTAGAAAAAAGGTTATTACGAAAATGTCATTATCTCCTTTAGATTCGGGGATTTTCTTCAAAAACTCAAGTAAGAGAGAAGTCGAACCGTTTTACCACTTCACTACTGAATTATTCGATAGTGAATTTATTCTTCTGCTGTAGGAATTGTCTTGTCTTTGCATTCTGCATATGGCATTGGTTAAATTTATTAAATTAATGAATTTTTTTCAACTTTCTTCGTGGAATAAGTTATAAATTCGCCGGGGATGGGATTGACAAAGGTCAGATGAATGTAGCATGAAAACCGCTATCGATCGAAGTGGCATTAACGGTTTGCATTAATTAAGTGGCATTGATTATTGACGTTGATACTTTTCTCACCTCAAGTCACACGTTTGTTAATTCAAAACTGCTGACTAGTATTTTTAGGGAAATTCACTGATGGAAAATTATCACTAATTTTGTTATAAAAAATATAACCGAATGACAAAAACTACAAGCTAAAAACAAAAATCCGTCCTTTACTGCAATAAAAAATATTTTAATTTATCAAATGAGTCCGAAAATATTGAAATTGCAAAAAAAAAATATTATTTCTATAAGCTTGAAAATAATGTCAGTACGTATCTGTCCGATCAATAAATGTTATCGCTAATCAATTCGAAAATTCGAGCAGACGACCCCCACGGAGTCCTCAATTTATTAAATAGAAAATTCTTTTTTTATCCCCTTTGTTTTCAAGGGAGGAAATTGTGTCGCCCTCGCCCTTGTCTCATCATTCATATCGTATTCAATTTTGTCATGAAAAATGGAACCACAAAAATAAAACTACGAGGTACAAACACAACCCGTAGTTCGACGCAATAAAGAGTATTAAAAAAAATATCAGTAAGTATCTGTCCCATCAATAAATGTTATCGCTAAACAATTCGAAAATTCGAGTGGTCGACCCCCACGGAATCCTCAATTTATTAAATAGGAAATTCTTTTTTTATCCCTTTTGTTTTGAAGGGAGGAAATTGCGTCGCCCTCGCCCTTGTCTTGTCATTCATATCATTATTATTAAATTTTGTCATGAACAATAAAACCACAAAAATAAAACTACAAGGTAAAAACAAAAACCGTGCTTCAACGCAATAATTAATATTCCAATTAATAAAATATAAGTATAATCAAATATAATCAAATATCAGTAGTGAAGTGATCATTCGGTTTAAGTCGACGTAGCTCTTAGTTGACTTCTTGAAGAATATCTCCGAATTTAAAGGAGATAATGAAATTTTCGTAATAACCTTTTTTCTAGAGAAAATTGAGTGCTACAAAAAAGGTTTTAACAAAAATTTAGCTATCTCCCTTCGATTCCGTGATATTCACTAAAAACTGGTCAATAGTCAAAATCGACTTAAACCGGTTTACCACTTCGCTACTGAATTAGAGATATTCATGGAGAACTGGCGGTAGAATGGAATTAAATTAAACTGTTTGACCACTTCACTACTGATATAATCAACTAAACTTCCGTAGACGAAATATACCGTATTTTTTTACATTCACAAAATGTCTTTGAGTATCTGTCCCATCAATAAATGTCATTGCTAAGCAATTCGAAAATTCGAGCAGTCGACCCCCCCGAAATCCTCAATTTATTAAGTAGTAAATTCTTTTTTCATCCCCTTTGTTTTGAAGGGAGAAAATTGTGTCGCCCTTGTCCTTGCCTCATTATTCATATCGTCGTTATTAAACGACCTCCCTCTAACGTGAGGGGGCGGTTGGAGCTGTCCCTTGTCTCTATCTCTCTTTCCCTCTCTTTTCGGTTAATTTCCTTTGAACGTTTTCACGTCTTCTTCAGCTTCGAGAGTCCCACACTCACTGTAGATGCCAATCTGAGAGCTCAATTCTTCTCATTCTCACTTGTTCCTTCTGAACTGTTTGGTTTACAGTTAAGAAAAAAATTATTTTTGCAAGACATTTATTTACTTGAGGGGAGCATTCTTGTTTTCAAAATTGTGTTTCTCCAATCGAAACATTCTCAGGTCGAGGCCTGATTGGAGGATGACTATGTTGCACGTGACCTTGGATCGACTCCTCCAATGATTATTCATTTTTTCTAAATTTCTTATTTTCCAAAGGGAAAGGTTTCGATCAATTTTTTAATGTTAATAATTATTGAGGGAATTCACTCGAGGTAATAACTAACATAATCATCTACTACAGCAATGTAATTGTCATAATTGAAACCTAATGCGCCGAGAAAAGAATTATTTTTGCCAAATATTCATTTACTTGAGAGAAGTATTTATTTTTTCAAAATCGTATTTCTTCAATCGAGTCATTCCTAGACGAGCCTGACTGGGTTTCAATTATAACAATCATGTTGCTCTAGAGGATGACTATGTTGCACGTGACCTTGGATGAACTCCTCTAGTGATAATTCATTTTTACTAGATTTATTGTTTTCTAGAGGCAAGAGTGTCCATTAATTTTTTAATGCTGATACCTATTGAGGGGATTCACTCAAGGTCATAATTGATCATCATAAGATGATCATCTTCTAAAGCAATATAATTGACGTAATTGAAACCTAATGAGGACTGCCTGGGAACGACTCGACTGGAGAAAAACGGCATTGGAAAAATAAATATTTCTCTCAAATGAATGAATATTTGGCAAAAATAAGATTTTCTCTTAGTGTGGTGGATTAAAAATAACGTCAATTCCCAATTAATAAATAAAAATGGTGGATATTTGGTTTCAGATTTGGTTTCACGGCTTCAATCTCATTTCTACGTTTTCATTTGAACCGTAAATTATTTTTTTCAAATCGGGTTTTATAATGTCATTAATGTGTGGAATGTCGGATGCCGTTAACGTCCCCGTTAATGAAACTAGAGGCTTTCCGTGTCTTTAATGAGGGTTCAATAATTATATTCGTGCGTAACTCCTTTAATTAACGCCTCAAATAGATGGTTAATAATCTTTTTATCATTTGAGACTGATATTTTTATTAATGAATGCACTGTGAAAAATTTTATACTGAAATTTCCAAGAATATTCATAATTTCACGGAAAATCTCGTGGGATCTGTAAATTTCAGTTTAATTATTCCCGAAAAATTGATAAAATTGATAAAATCCCGAAAATTTAGGGAAGTTTCTCCTTCAATTCCAAATTCCTATGAATTTTCAAGGAATTCCTTTAAAATTTCTGTAATTCCAAAAATTTTCATTGAATTACATTTCGCACAGTAAAATTTGACTCGATTTTCTAAGCAATTTTCATCCAACTTTTCTCTCCGTGTGGCATTTGCCGGGACATTGACACCCGTCACCTCTTACCCGCCGAACATCTCCCCTTCAAAATTCATCTTTACTTTCATTACCGTAAAATAATTTATATTTTTGTCAACATTTCAGTCACAACTAGTGGTGCAGCTATTTCTTGATTGAAAAAGATACATCACCCACGAGACCCTCGAGTTTTTCTCAAAGTATTTTTTCATCTCCCTTTTTTTTTACGTTCGAGATGATGTGAACGACTAGCTCGTCGATTTTTTTCCCGTCCTCTTTCATCGATTCACAAAAAATCCGGTCACGCTGGCCTCTATGGCGCTGGCAGATTGAAAAACGCAAAAAAAAGTGAAAAGAAAGTGGAGGAAAATTTCAAAGTCCCTTCGCTCCGACATGAGTTTAACAGACGATTTTTTTTTTATATCCCGTGATCCGCTGAACGTGTCGCTGGATTTTTCACTGGGTGATTAAAAAAAACACATGGAAGAATTTCAGCCTGGTCAAGGCTGCTAATTAAAAAGCAACGGATCCTACGTGACTCTCCATATCTCTTAACCTTCTTTCATTACTTCCAAAAAAAAGAGGAAAAACCCACGAGCAGTAGTTCAAATCCTCCCCCGCCGCGTGTCCACAAAAGTTTTTGGTCTCTGTGAGATAATATTTGTTCGCTCTCGTGCATCAGACACTTGAGAGAGAAAAATCCATTGAAAAACATTCACCGAAAACAGTTCAAAGCGATCTGTTATATATCACACCTGTTGACACGGGTAATGAACATAATATAGAAAATTAAATACAGAAAATATGAGGAAAAGGGACTGAATGGTAGAAAAAGGCGTCAAAAGATCTTGTTTTCCGTGGCTGAATGAATTTCCAACGAAAGCTGTCTTTTGACAAACTCGAACATGCGAAAATACGGGAGAAATCCACTTGTTGTGTTACGTTCTGCCCCCGCACTACTAAATGACAATAAACAAAATCAATTTGTTGTTGACAACTCGATTGATTGACTCATTAACATTCCTTCGCCATAAATTTATTAATGTCCCAAAGATGCCCCACTTTACTCTATCCATAAATTTTATAAACACATTTATATCCTTCAACAGTCTCATCTCACTTTCAATGGCAAATGCCAGCAGCTTCTACAGTTTAGCAAAATCACTGGAACGAATTGATATAATCGCATCGTCATTATGTAAATGCGGTTATGAAGAAGAAAACATCGATCACGTCGTGACAAATCATGTTCCAAAAATTTTTTCCGTCACATCATGCACGAAAATTCCTAATTAGTCTAGATAAAAATTCTCTTGTAACAATTAACGAGTTCCTTCTCAAATGTTCAATAAAAATCCGAAGTGGATTGTTAATAGTTCAAGTTACCCCACGATCTCATTTTTATAACGAGAAATATTGCAAATTGAACTGTAATTGTTCAGAAATACTTCAATAAAAAAAAACCAACAGCTTGTAATTGTCAGGAGCATATGCCCATCGATCACCATCGATCGAAGTCCTGGATCAATGAAAGAGCGCCTAAAACCCCCCAACTGACCCGCCAATAGATCCTCAACAATAATTCAAAGTAAAAACATTCGAAATGACAAGATACAATCCCGCAGATAGCCGTCTAAATCACCAACCTGTTACTTTTCCTCCTCGACCACCGTTGCGTGCCCCTCAAACCACTCGGTGTGAAATAAATAAACCATTTCCTACTTTTACACACCCCGTGCTCCCCCTCATCGCTCCATTTTCCCTCTTTAGTCCAGATATCACCGGAAAAATTCACGAAAAAAATTCAATGACGAGTGAATTATTTATTTCTCATCGTCGGGCTCTGTTGTTCTCTTCGGTAAAAATACGCTCAAGGAGAAACGGAACCGATATGGTCGGGCAGGCTGCCCGGCTTGCACTGCCCGGGTCTCCTGTTACCCACCACCACGATTGCGCGAGACCGACCTGCCGTTCACAGCCGAGAGGGCGCCTCGTCGTAGTCATTCCCGAAGGTTTGCGCCCTGACAAAAAAAAAAGCTCAGTCATATGTACGAGGGGGACTAGCTGCTAAGGGTGGACGGCAGAGAGTGGGGGGCGGCCAGAGGGTGTTCAAGGGGAGTGGAAATTTCGTTTTTCCCTCTTCGAGAGTCAATTATTGTTTTTCTTCTTCGCATTTCCCTCTGCCCCCCCCCCCTCTNTCTCTTCTCTCGCCTTTCTTTTTGTGTTTCGCCTGGTCCGGTGAACGTATCAGGGCGCAAGCTCCACCGGTCGGGGCAGTACCGTTCCCCCTCGTCGGGCAACAGGAGGCCATCTCCTGAGGAGGTCGAGGGCACGTCCGTGGGAGCAGGAATTTTTTTTCGAGTTGATTTTTCCCTTGCACTCACTTTCATCTTGTTCGTTGTCTTTTTCGCTTTGGTTTGGGGAGGGGGGGTGGGGGGCTCTGCTTTACCTCTCGGCAAAAAGGGGTTTTAAGGTCGGAACGCTCGCTTCGTGTTTTTCGAGAAAACATTTTTTTTTATGGGGCGAGCAGTGGAATTGCTAATGAGCTTTTTGGGGAGGGGGAGAGCACTTGTGGTTCATTCAGATGTTGTTTATTTTTTAGGACGCGGGCGGGGGAGGGGGGGGAATTTGGGGGTTTGAAAGGGTGAGAATTGGCTGGGGGAGTGGAGGATGGAGCTGTGGAGTGGGAGATGGAATGGGGCAGAGGAGAATAAGGGAAATGTTGGGTTAAGGATAAGTGAATATTTTTTGTTATAGATTCAACCGTTTTGAATCATCAAAGTTGTGAATTAATTGTGGGAGAAAAATTGAAAAATATTATGAATATTCAGCGCCATTCAAATTACATTTTTCAGGGAATTATTATTTTTTTAAACTTTCTTTGTTTATAAATAAATAATTTCAATTGTTTAAACTTTCGGAAACTTGGTTTTTTTAGGCGTGAAATTTATTTCTGGTAAAATTCTGAATGTGAAGAAATTTGTCACGATGTCGAAGAAACGATTTTTATGGCGGAAAATTGATTGTTTATGAATTATTAAACAAATGAAATGCCCGTAAATACCACAAAAAATAATGAATAACTAATTAAAAAATGAAAAAAAAAATTTCGAGGGGACAGTTTTTTTTTTGGGAAAAAATATTCTTTCCTCGTTAATGTATTCTTTCTATGGTATAAACCTACGGAGTTCTCTCAGATCAAATTATTAGCGTACAATAGATTATATTTTGTCCTGCCAACAGTTGGAATTCTTCTAGGGATATTTCTGATGACCACGACAAAATTTAATTTTTGTGAAAGGTATTAAATTTCCTTCTATCAAATTGGTCAATTTCCCTCAAGTAAATCTGTTCCACTCCATCAAATATTCTCACGTGGAACATATAGTTTTTCGACAGAGCTAATTTCGTCTTTCAGTGCAAGTAGGAAGGAGGAGCACTCACATTTCATTCAGCTAGTCGAGAATTGGCTCATGGAAGTGCAGGATGAAGTAGTAAAACGTAATGAAGCAGCGGAGACCGACGAGGTTTTCATAATTTTGTTAAAATGTCATGTTAAATGTGATGAGTTCTTTTGTCTCGTAAATTCAGTCTGTTGTAGATTTTTTAGAATATTTCCTCGTGAAGCCTGTTGTGGTTTTGTGAACGCCGGAATCAGATCAATTTAATTCTTTCTGCGTGAAGTAATTGAATGATAATGTTTTAATCAGTTTTGGTGGGAGGGGGAGAGAGCCGGGGTTGTTTAACCGAGTTGTGGACATGGCTCGAGGGAAAATGGGTAGCGGGTGTTGGTATTGGACGTATCTCCAACCACGTGTTGCCTTTGGCAGGCAACTTCGATTATTGCGGAGGCTGATTCCCACCGATCATGCTCCCATGTAGTACGGAACATCTGGACGACGATTCAGTGGTTTTTATTCCCTGCTCTCGGAACGGAGAGTTATATCGCCAATGGACACCCGGGGAAAGTAGGAATGGGAACTGGGAAATGGGAATGTGATACAAATTCTATTTTAATGTCAATTTTTTGAGTGATCGTTGAAAAATCGATTTTTGTAAAATATCAATTGTTTCGAATCTGTATGAAAAATTGAATTTTAATTGGTGTGAATGAATAGAGCTTATTAGTGTCTATATTCATAAAAAAATTCATGAAATTCGATTGGTCCCTTATAAGAAAAAATATAGTTTCCATTCTTTTCATTGATTCCCTTTTGAACCCTCAAAAGGGAATTCTCAAATGCCACCAGACTGCACCCAGTACTCACCGCACGTTGTACAAGCACGCATAAGGCCGGCGTGTACAGAGTAAATTCCTGTCGGGAGTCAAGTGTAAAAGCGGGGCGTAAGGAGAGTCGAGGGTTTTATGTACAACTCCAACACACCGGCCGAAGCATAATTCCATCCCTCTCCGTTCTCATGCTCAAACGTTTTCATTCAACATTTTACTTTTATTTCCCAGTTATTTTTTAGCCCCCCCCCCCCCTCCACGAGCAGAAATTATTTCTGTCCACAGTTGGAAGTGTAAAAAAACAGTGGATGATGACGTAATATTTTTTTCCCTCTATATTTTTTTCTTTATTACTCTCTTGTAAAAAACGTTTTCATTAGAGTTGCCTGAGAGGAAACTCGACTCTGTTGAATTTTCCTCCCTCTCTAGTCGTGAATATTCTATTTTCCATTCATGGTGAATGAGAAATTGTTCTATCGTAATAACGGTGAATTAATTTTGGTATGGGTAGCCAATATCAAGAGACATAATTTGATAGCGCCGAGGGGATATTGAAATTTTTCCCGGGTTTTAATATTTCGAGGTTGATTTTCGTTCGTTCAGTTCTTGTTGGATAACACTCGAGGTTTATTCGTCCTTTCCGCTTTATTCGGGATTATTTTTTGCTGTTATTTAGGGAGTCGAGGGGCAGAAGTCGGAGGCAGGAGCTATGATAATGACCCAGACAAGCTATATTTGTTCTTTAAGTTTTTTGATGCACTCGTTGTAAAAATTCTTGTATAAATCGTATGAAAGAGCGATAATCTCTATATTATCGTGAAACTTCGATGAAATTTCTTGACTATAGAGACCAACTTCGAAAACTTGAGGATCTCTAAAAATTTTCAACCATTTTCAATTAATCTAATCACCATCGTTCTTGCGAAGTTGATTACTGATTTATAAAATATTTGAAGAATTAAAAACATTGATTGATAACTCATTCAATAAAAATTAGAAAATTAAACAATTCAGTTACTTGATTTTGTATGTATTAAAAAAATTTCATTCTGCATTATGATTTCCGCTGACAAAAGATTTCTTTCGAACTCCCGAGGACAAAATTATTTATCCCGACTCAAAAAAAAAAGAAATTTCGAATTTAACCAACACACCGCTTCCATTCGGACCCAAAAAACGGAAGTATCAGTAGTATCTCTGAATCAATGTTTCCATATTCACAAAAAAATAACGGGAAAACCTCATTGGACGGATCAATGCCACTGCTGTGTCCATCGTGCACACACGCAGGCATCGAAGGGGCCGCATAAAGCGATAGAGAGAGGGAAAAAATTATAACAAAAAAAAAGGAAACGAACTGGTCAGGTAATCTCATTTCGACCCGCACGTGTTCCCTAACGTGTGTACCATTTCGGCACTCGTCTTTTTTCCTCTCTCTCTCCAATTGCGTTATTCCGAATGGAGCGTGTGCATGAACGATTTTGCGCGGCACCAAATGCCACAGGGGCAAGAAGGGGAAAATCCACGAATTTCCCCGTTGATTAATGAATACAACTGAGTACGTGAACGATTCAAAGAGACCGCTTGCGCTTTGACGCTGGGCTGCGGCTTCGAGGGGCTTGCGAGAGGGAAAATATAAACGCACGCGGGACGCGGTATGTCCATATTCCACCAACTCAATTAGATGCAACGGAAACTGGGAGTTCCGGTGTAGAATTTAATTTCTTCGATGAGGTAAAGTCGATAATTAATTCGGGCAGTTATTTACAATGGATTCAGTGGTATATAATGGCTATGTGGGATGGGAGAGAGCCGCAGTGAGCGTAAATCAATGGAATATTATATTTTTCAATCACAAAATTTCCTGAAATTTCAGTGGAAATTAAACACGATAAAAATTTCTGGGATTTGGCCGGAAAAATTCAGACGAAAATTGTTAGCAGTGTACTATATGATGGGTCCTAACGAAAATTTAAAAACAACAAACGAGTGTCTCATAGAGAGAAGTCGTACCCCCAAATCCCAAAGTGATCTTTCAGAGCTCTAAAGTGATTTTTCCGCCTTCATAACACAAGATTTGCACGAGAGATTATGCAAATGAAAATATTCCCCTTTCCTGATGCCCGTGTCAATCATAACATCGTGCTTTTTTTCCATTTCTCGTGGCTTTATTGAGGAAAAAACAGTAATACCATGAAATTTCCCAAGGGATGAAGGAAAGGATGTGATGAAATGGGAGATATATGCAGACGAATTATTGATGAACCCCAAGCTGCTGTGAATATTTGAAGGGAAATTTTGTGAAAGCCCACGGAAAATTTGGGGAAACTCTTTCCCTTGATTCTCTTTAGCGAGCCGCACTCTCTTCTCCACCTGATTTGACATATCCGGGTCACTGTGGATCGATAGTCATCCCAAGGTCAAGGCTAATATCTCCTCTTTCGCGAGTGCTAATGATGAAGTATCTGGAAAGTCCTGGGAATGCTGTTTTTATTTTACTGAATGAGTTTATTTTCATTTTACGGAAATTACCTGGTTTTTTGCTTCCGCATGAAAGCTGTAGAATCGTTCAAATCAAATTAAACCCTATCGATCGCCATTAATAAGAATTTAATTCATCGGTTAGTTTTTTCAATTTTCGAATTTTTTGCTGAGGGGAGAGATAGAA